TCATGTATGGTGGCCTTTAGCCAACTAAAGTATTGTTAGCTCATTAAAACAGAGTGCAGGACTGAAAGAAGATCCCAAATCGACTTCATGTCGCGACCTTGAGTTTCAGGTCATCAGATGACCTGATCACATCCACATGTATGTTAGTTTTCATGAGCTGTCCCATTTCTTGATTTGATTCAACAAGCATTTAAATAAATTGGAATTGGAGGGTTGATTAAGCTCCATTATTACTAGAAATACATTTATTGTTCATAAAGAAACACACTGCCTGTTTTCTTTCTATTTTCATGGCTGATCTGCTTTCTCTGGCTAATGGAGAGTCTGGCATATAACTCAGTTGGCACTACAGCCTTAGTAGCATATGGCTGCTAAGAGTGAGATTCCGGATACAAAAAAATAAGCCTATGATACAGTTTTAGAGATTTAACAAATTGTCTAAAGATGCCATGGTTATAGGTTGGACTGATTTATCAGAGTTGGAAAGATTGCAAATACATTTACATTTAAATAAAAGTATACTTCTGTTTGGTTTATTGAATAACTCAGTACACAGAAAAAGTATGTGCAATGTGCAGTAACCTACAATCATCTATCAAGTTTCATCTTTCAATAACACCACTATGAAACTGAAGTTTGATTGGTTGTGGTAGGTTTCAAATTGGCATGCTTTGCATCATTAAATGAGCTTAACATTTTCCTGATTGAAGAGCGATGTAAATATGATAAACATATAAACACATTTTAAACATTTTTTCTGAGTAAGGACTGTATTCATGGTGTAAGCTGGGCCTGGATTTTAGGGAGTAAGCACACTAGAGTTAATTAATCTGGATTGGATGAATTAGGGTTTAGCACAAAATGTTTGTCTGAATGTGCATAATTTGTTTGTGAACTAATAGTGGATCAAGGTTTTTAGGAGTTCGCTCACATACAGTCATACACTGGATTAAAAGAAAACAGTAAGAAATGAGTGATCAGACTGCAACCAATCACATATCCTGGATTGTAGTGTGTGGCTACATAAAATCATTTTAACGGGTTAATATTTGACTCCTCCAATTCCGACAATCTCCACACAATTTCTGTCTTCAAGTGCTAACATTCTGCACTCTGCGTTTTATTGTTTTTGCCCCTATATCACTATGCGACACACTAATGTTGTAGGGGCCAGCAAAAAGAACCTCAGAGCAGTGGGAGACTAGGCATCTGACTCACCTGGAAGTGTGTCTGATGCAGGAAGCAGTACAACAATTAAAGAAGGAGAAACATTTTATTAGCCCTTGTATTGGGGCTACCCCCACACCGCAAGGGTTAACTGTTCATTTTTGTTTAGGTGCTAAAAAAAGTGATACTCACCCGAACTGCTGAGTTAACTCCTTGCGTCTCCGGTCACTAGAGCATGTCTCCTCCTCTGCTGCTCAGATGAAATGTTCATCAGCATCCTCACATCTATACACTTGCATAGAATGTGATCGCACAAGGATTCTTAGACCACTGCAGAGGAGGGGAAAATAGGCTCTTGAAACTGGTCTAACAACAAGCGAGCAGTTAACCCTTGCAGTGTGGGGTTAGTCCAACTGCAAGGTTTAATAACATTTCCACCCGGAGTTCTTCTTTAAAGACTGCAGAGATCAGTGAAGTGGGCATTTTGGAGGGTAAGTATTAACCCTTTCCTATGCAGGAAAGCCTTTTAAAAACTTCTTTCAAGTAGTCTTTCAAGTAGTTACAGACTTGCTATAAAGGGGATTCTTCCTAAATAATTAAGGTAAGGATAAACAAAGATAGAAACTTTTGAACATTAAAAAAGCACAAAGTATTTGGTAATGTAAATATCTAAGTACAGTACTCTGAATTCCCTTGAACACATCTTTGAAATAGGCCACTGGTTAAAGTGTACATCTGTTATATAACACGTCTATTTGTACATTTGTATACATTTGAACCTAAAAAACGCAAATTACATTTTCATGAAAAACTATAAGGTTTCTAAATTACATTTAATCTGCAATTTAACTGTAATTGAAGAAGTGAATATGTGCTCTTCCTACTGTGCAAAACACAGTACAGTTCCTGTTCTGTCAGCTGGCTCCATATGCTGCTGTCTGTAAACTATGCACCTTATTTGACATGTCACACTTAAAGACTCTTAGCTGAAGGTAGATTACAGTCACCATATGACATAGACCTCTCAGCCAGACTTCTGGAATATGAAACTTGAATTGATAGTAATGTGAAAGATAGTGTTTTGACTAGATTACTATTCTTTCATGGTCATCATAGCATTACTACTGAATAATTTGTAATGCTAAATGACTGCAAACTAGTTTTGTTTCTTACCAGGTGGCTGTAATTCTATCACACACAGTATATAGACAAGGACCTGGTATTGGCATTTACAGTGTAGTTGAAACCAAAACTTTTTTAGTTTTGGATAGAGTTGAAAAGAGTTAGAAGTCATGTCAGTTATTTTAGACTGGAAACTGGAGCAAGCACAGAATCATGGCTGAACTAATGATATATAGAACAATTATGTACAATTAATCATGCAAATAAGATATGAATACAATGAGGGCAATGACCAATATATGAATTTATAATCATGGTTTCTGTGTGGGTTCCAGGGAGGTTATTTATGTTGTATACATCTATTTATGGTTTTTTATATGGATGAATTTTAGCATATTTATATGTATAGACATTATGAATTGAGTATATTAAAAATGGAATTTTATTATATATATGAATCAATTGACTTTATTATTGGATCAATTCCCTGCTATTCTCCAGTGGTCACCACAAAGCCCCTTTCTTTCTCTTTCCCCCTTTTTTTGATATCAGTTATTTTATTGTTGTCAATGTCCCTCTTAGGAAGATTTAGTCCTGGTGATTATTGTCACTCAGATTGAAGTTGATAGAAAATCCAAAATGTTGAATTGTCGCTAGAACCGGTATATTGGGGATTTTTTTTGATGGGGACACTTGTTCCAGTGACACATGTTTAAGTTCTCTAAAATTATGGGGGTCTATTCACAAAGCTGCCGTAGGCAGCCGAGTGAATAACCGACCCAAAGTGAAGTGAGCCGAACGCTGTTCGGCTATTCACTTCAGGCTTGTACGGCTGACTTCAGCCGTACACCGACTAAAATCAGCCGTACATAGGCTTGCTGCGGCTGGCTTTGGGTCAGCCAAACATGACAGCTAGCTCCGCCCAACTGTTTTCTGCTGCTGTCATAATAAAAGAAAAAAAAAACACCATAGGAATGCATAGCTAGATGCTGTCAATCACCAGAAGGGGACCTGATGAAGAACTGCAGGTCACCCTCTGCTGATTGACAGCAGCAGTGGGTGAGTGCAATAGCTAGTTTGCTATTGGCTATTTCAAATTGAAATAGCCAATAGGAATCTAGCTATGCATTCCTATGCTGGCTTTTTTTTTCTGCCAGCGGCCCCATGTCAGCAAAAAAAACAAAAAACAGATTGCAAGGAAAGTTTACTCTGATCGATCGAGCAGAGTAAACCTTTCCGTGAGAAAGTGTTTCTCTCCTGGGTGGACGGGAGCCGTATTTGACTCCCAGAGCGTCCGGGAGAGTAATGACAGATCAGTGTCCCTGGTTACCAGGTAACCAAGGACGCCATCTGTTATTAGACACTGAGAACCCGGAGAGGCCGTTGTGATATCATAGCGGCCCTGCCGGGTTGTCAGTGTGTAATGACAGATGGCGTCCCTGGTTACCTAGTAACCAGGGACACTGATCTCTCTGCAAGTGGCTTTCACCTCTGCTCAGTCAAGCCGAGGCATATGCCTTCGGCTCAACTGAGCCGCTCGGCCAACTTCGGAAGCCGTATGGGCTATAGTGAATATCCCATACAGCAGCCCTTTGGTTCTACTGAACCGAATGGGTCCTGGGGCCGAAGCTAGCCAAAGGATCAGCCAAAGTTATGGCTAGATCATTCGGCAGCTTAGTGAATAGACCCCTATATGTCTTCAAAGAGCATTAGTGTACTACCAATTTTCCAAAAATTAAAATAGCCTTTCAAAAGTCTGGTCACTCTAATCATCTGATTTCTGATCTAGAAAACATTTTTATAGGCTATTTCACACTACCAGTCTTTGCATTAACTAATTGTGGACCTTGGTGCACAAAGTACCACATAAAAACTTTATTTAGGTACTTTGGCCATACCTCAAGTGTCCAGGGCTCCTTCCCACATTGTGGCTGCTCTAACCAGCAAAATTACAAGGACTGCTGTTAGTTTGCTCTGTATTGCAGACAACAGTTCCTGTGTAAATTCCTTTATTTAATTTCTAATGACTGCCCCGGGCTTTATAACATTTTAGCATCATCATAAAGTATCTTAGCATCATCATAATTGGCACAACTTAATTAGATTTGAAACTAACATTGATAAGAAAAATGTTTTTTATATAATTTGATAATATCAAAAGGAAGTAATGGCACAATTATTGTCAAATCAATAAGCCCATATCTGAAATGTAAAAAATTATCCTGGCCTATAAGGGGTAAACAGGCATGAAAACTGAAACAATTAAATAAATTAATGCATACTGTGAGCACAGTGAGACAACAAAAATTTTATGGATAAGAAATTCTAAATCAACAGATAATACACCAAAGCATTAAAAGACTGCTCTTGAAAAGGGTTTGTCAAATACACACGTTAGACAAACAGTTATACAAACCATTGTAAGTAGACATCGTGCCTTCAGTTACCTTTATCATCACTGATTCAAATAGAAACTAACAATTTATGCACTAGATTTTTTTTATTTACTTTCCTACAATGTTATTCAAATTAGAATGGCTTATCTTTATTGGGGAAATTAACACAAAACACATAACTTTCTGCAAAAGACTTCATGCCATACACAAAAATGTATTTTGATTATGTTTATAATTATAATAGATCAGAAGAAAGGATTCTAAATATTTTGAGAATAACTGCATAACACACAGTGAGTATTTGGAAATAAATACCTTTTGAAAATCTTTGATGTTTGCCACATTGAAAGAAAATACATGATCCTTAGCTCCAATGTATAGTCTTCCCCGCTCTTCATCTAATACAAATGTGTTGTAGTTTGAGCTGTTAGCCATGCCATTGAAAGTTATTAGATTGTTGGAGTCCACCATTTCTACAAAAAAAAAAAACACATGTTAAAATGAGCTGCATAACACCACAAAATGCAATAATTCTAATGTCTTATGGTACTTTCAAAACCTTTTGATGTTAAGCTTAAAGCAAGAGAGACATTGTTTTCTCCTAGCTGTGTATATGGTCTTAATCAGACTTGCAAGAACTACATAATTTATGTAATTCTTTTAAAATCACAATACTTTACTTAAAAGTTATGTAAAGCCAAAGCATTTTTTTCATATGGAGTGTGGAAGGGTTAGAACTGCTGTCAGGTTTTAATTGCTGTCTGTGTACACTTCTAGATAGATTAACCCCCTTTATATGTGCTGATGACCATGGTCACGGAGGCTGAAAGTGGTGTAAATCCCAAATTTCCTGTTATTAACAGAACAAAAAAGTGAGGGCAAATCTCTTGACAGCGACACCTGTTACAGTGACAACTGTCTTAGGGTGTTATTGCGCTCTGTTTGGAGAAATTTCCCCTCACTTCATGTTGGACCTGAAGTGAGGACAGGAAGACAAGATAAATCTTATCAACAGCACACAGTTCACAAAACAAACGGTAACACCTTCTCCTAACACTTCCCAACTCTATTCAAAACTAGAAAAAAGTTTGGGATGACCCTACACATTAAGGCAAATGGGCCTCAAAAACCAAAAACCATGCCTGATTTCAAAGTGCAGTGATACGTATACACTTAATATGTGGGTTTGAGTGAACTCAATTACAGTGCATAGCATGTAACTACAAAAAGCAATCCTTAGCATTGTTGCAGTTTACACCATGACATGTATACTTGTTCAACCACACTCCCTTGCCACTCCCCACAGAAGCATCTCAGCCTATTAAATCTCCAGAGTTAATTGTTCTTATGTCCTGGCCATCTCAACTGTGACAGTTTTCAGGCCTGGTGATTGGCTACTCAGATTCCAGCACTGTCACACGGGGAGGTCAAGTGCTCTTCCAAACCCAGTCCCATAGGGGTGGGCTATGTGCAGAAACCTGTCACTATGACATGAATAGGCAAGGTGACATTGTCTTTTTAACATAAAGTAGAATGAACAGTTAGAGAAGTAATTAGGAAGTGACGGTCTAAAATGCATGCCTTTCCCAAATAAACTGCTGCTCAAGAAGTCCTTCAGTGTTGCTCACTTGTCTGAAGGCCTAGAAAACTAGTATGGTATGAGATCTCTAAGGAGAAAGGTCATTCAGTTTGATATCTATTCTTTCCCTTCATTAGAGATCACATGACCAAGTGCCAAGACTTTGAGAAATATAGTTTGCATTTACCTTTGCTCATCCACCCTAGCAAGAGTTTAAACTCGCTTTGTATAAGAATTTGAGCATAGATACTGTGGCAGTGCATGGCAATGCCACTGCGTTCTCTCCATTCCTGTGTCCAGAATCTGAGTGGCCAGCGCATGCTGATGGCACATGTGTGCACAGCCTTTAAATTAAAGTTGTTGGGAAGGGTTCAAGACTCTACCTGGGAGACAGGAAGGCCCCACCCAGGAGTCAGAGTGGAGTCCAGTGCAGCAGGGTGCTGCGGATTGGGAAGAATCCCCCAGTGTGCAAGTTAGCACATGACTGAGGCTGTCTGGAGGAACAGACAGTGGGCTGAGGCCGGAGCAGCGGTGCTGCAAATGCAAAGCCAGGAGGCTGGATGGGCATGTGCTGCCATGAGATGCTAAAGAACCCCTGCGAGGGTAATTGTTCTGTTTTTGTGAACTTTCATTTAATAAAAGTGGGCAAGGAAGCCCTTGAATGAAGATTGCAGCGAGTGGATGCGTCCTTAATGCGCTACCATTGGAAGCTAAATCTCACAATACTTAAACTTGTGTCAAGGGTACTTAAAACCTAAATAATATACATATTGGGGTTGATATATTAAAGGCAAATGGGCTGTTCACTTTGCAAAGGAATTTTCATTGTCTAGTAGAATTTCCCCCTAGCTCTGTGGATGTGGTGAAAACTAATTTTGCAAATTATACACAATCATGTCAGCAGAGCCTCACCTCATTCACTAACTGAAGGGAAATTTTCCAAAGAAAGCCAGATATATAAACAAAATCCACTGTTGTTTTTTTTCTAAAGATATTCACACCCATGTACTGCCTTGGTATGAATGAGCTCTAAAGATTCTTATAGACATTAAAGAACATTTGGCCAATTATGCCATTAAGCAGAACTTAAAATCATGTGTGTAAACCTTTCTACAACCATAGGTCCATGGTGTTGACTGCAGGTAAAAGTTGATTGGCAAGGATGGATTTATTTTTTATTCAATCACTGGTTGATTCTAAGAAAAAGCAAGCAGGGTTAACCACTGCACACTTGTATGTCAATAGAAAGATCTTTTGTTAGAAAGAATGGTGACAGAGTCCTGCATGCACGGCAGGCTGAAGTGTGATGTATGTAGGCATCTTAACACTTAAAGCTGTACTCCAGGAATATATAACAAACATATGCTAAAATGATAAAGACAGAGTAAATGCAGATTTTAATTAATGTATGCAAGTACCTGAATTTGACCTCACACCAGTAGCCCCCTGTACAACAGGGCTCAGGGGAAGGAGAAGCAGCACAAGGAGCCAATCAGGTGTGCCACAGTGTTTGTGTGCTAATATTGAACTTGCTAAAAGCAGGAGAAAGTAGTGACAGAGATGAGCTTATACGTCTGCTGCTTCTTATATCACTCTTCAAAGCTTTGGCAAGATAGCTGCCTTATATAGATGTCACCTCTGCATTTAGCCATTTCCTGGAGTTCAGCTTTAACTCACAGACAACTGAAACAAGTAGGATAAGTTATGACAATATTCACCAAATAAAATGTACTTAGTACCTGTTCACTTGAATCACAGTATGCTAAAATGTAAAAGCACCTTTTAACTATCCCTTTTAAATTTTAAGATACAATACTGAAATTAATTATAAACACAGAAAGAAGTGTGCTGAGATGCTTTCAAAGGTAAAAAAGGCAACTGGTCAAGCTTTGAAGGACCTAACCTCACCCTAAATAAAGCTTTCTAAACAAGTATACTGTTAACTCATGTCTACACATGCTGACCAGTTGCCACAAAGGTTGCTTGGGATATGTTTCTATAAGCCACAAGGGTCATATGCTCACTTTGACCATGTCCCAAATGTTTGTGTCCTTTAGATGTCATAGCCTTATAAGGGAACTGAACTATTAACCTTTATTTTGAAATGCAGAAAACAGCTTTACTTTAATTTCACAGACCAGCTACACTGTTGACCATGACTTACTGGTGTCTTCAATGGTGTAGAATATAGCATTATATTTTATTATGCTTTGGTTCTATTTTATTATTATTATTAATACATATGATTTTTATAGCACCAACAGTTTGCGCAGCGCTGTACAATATAAGGAAGACATTACAATCACAATACAATTCAAGGCAAGATGGTAAGGAGGGCCCTGCCCCTAAAGGGCTTACAATCTAAAAGGGAGGGAGAAGTGATACATGGGGAGGTAGCTGTGTGGGGATGAATTGTTTGAGAACACATAGTAATAGTGAAAACTTACATTAAAAAGGTATAGGCATGAGGTAAAATATAAAATGAAAAAGTGACACAAATATATAAAATTATGTTATATCAATTAGTGAGTGAGAGCCAATAATCTTGGTTTAGTGATGAGTATAAATGATGAATATATTGATATATATGAGGTAAAACATGTTTGCATTTTGTGTGGATACAAAAGAAATTGTAAATTATAATTGAAATGTAATGTATTTGAAAGGGGTACTTGGTTGCAAAATCTGAACACAATGTGCAAGCAACAACCACTTGAAATACTCTACTTTTTGAGAGAAAACATGTATTGTCATCTAAGCATAATATGAGATTTCAGAAAAACCTTCATTCTATGCGTGCAAAAGGTTTTTAGTTGCCACGGTGCTAATAATTATACATATGTTGACGAATTAAAAAATAGGATGATGTAGGTAGATAGATGTCAATGATCAGCATGTCTTCTTTTGAATCCACATAATCTGAAAAATGCTACAGACAGCAAAATATTCTGTGTGTCTAGATTAGAAGACATTTCAGTATAAATATTAGCAGCCTTCAAGTCCCAAAAAGTGCTCAAAACGTATCATTGATTATAATTAAGGCTGCTTCAGAAAAGGAAGGCAAGCACTGTATTAAGTACTTTTAGGAAACGAAGATGTAAAAATACTGTAGTTCAGGAGTCTTAAAGCAGAATTGGAAATGCAAGGCCCAGTTATCATTCTGATTACTGTCCCATGTAAAAATGTATTTATTACATTTATGACAGTTATTTATATAGCACTGACAATGTACGCAGAGCTCTACATAGTGCACATTCACATCAGTCCCTGTCCTCAAGGAGCTTACAATTTAAGATCCCTATCTCACATGCATACATACAAGGGCCAATTTAGACAGGAGCCAATTAACCTACCATCTCTTTGGAGTGTGGGAGGAAACCGGAGTACCCAGAGGAAAACCACACAAGCACAGGGAGAACATGCAAACTCCTTGCAGACAGTGATCTGGCCCGGATTCGAACCAGGGACCCATAGTGCTGCAAGGCAGCAGCACTAATTTAGAGTTAAATAAAACAGAAAATATTAAACATTAAAAGAAAATTTTACATTATACATACCTTAACCAGTTGACATCCGCGGTGTTAAACCCCCTTCCCATGTGTAAGAGTTCTAAGGTAAGTATATTTTAACATTTTCCGGTAACGATTGCTTTTTCAAAATTTAACTTCTTAATCATTTTAAATCAAGAAGATGAGGATATAAAAGAAGAGCGGGCCTTGCATTTTTATGCAAGTCTACTTTAAAATAAAATTAGAGTCAAGACCAATCCATGAAACTATTATGCATTATCTTTTGTTCACACATCACTGGTGATCTTCAGATTCACAAATAAAACGTCACCTCAAGAAAGTCCCTTTATTTTGTTAATTTAAATTGCAAGTAACTTATTTCCAT